TTTTTATAACGCATACATACTCTAATGAAATGCAGAAGATGATTAAAGAAATTAAGAATACTAACAGATAAAGGCTTAAAATAAAAACTTAACTTTTTAAAAACTTGACTGATATGCAAATATTATTAGTACATTTTCTTCATTAGTTTGCTGCAAGTGTTGGAGATCATCTGTATTCATATAAAATTTAAAACTGTTTCTATTTTGTAGGTGCCATGTTGGCAATTTAACAAATGTTTATAAATATTTTTTCAACTGTAAGCTTCCTGGACATTAAAGCCAGCAACTTTTATTGGAAGCAAGCCACTATTAAGAAAATAAATTAAATATATTTTCATTTAAATAAGATATGAACCTTAGTTTCCTTTTTTTCTTTTCATACTTTGTCACCAAAATTTCAGTAAAAACACTTGAATCTTACTTTGAAAATTGTTCATAGCCCTGTGTGTATAAGAAAAATTAATCTATAGGAAAATATGTAATCAGTTATTTTATCTTCACAAATTTATACACCTTTGTTTAATATATAGGTCGTACTCTTTCAGATGTCAGCCATATTTCCAACATCACTGCAAGTTGCATAAATGAATCAATATGTAATTCAGTTCTTAATAGCAAAGTGGAACCTACACTTGAAAATCTAGAAAATCTGGATGTCAGTGCATTTCAAGCACCTGAAGATTTATTAGATGGTTGTCGGGTATGTCTTTATTATTTAATAATTGCAATAGTGACAGTAAACATCAGTACTTCTAGTCTGACTTTAAAGACCCTTCAGAGTTGGGCTTGCTCCTTATCTACATAAACCTTCCACATGAGCTAAGCTGATGCACTTACTAGGCCTTGTCCCTCCGTTAGCTGTCAGGGTCCCTCTGCCTGGGATGTACCTTCATCTGTCATCCATCAACGTTCATATCAGTTTTCAACTCTTCTGAACCCTCCTAACAACATTAAACTTTCCTTTCTGTCCACTGTGTTTTGAGATCACTTAGTTTTTGAACCACTTAATGGATTTTTATTTATAGCTATCTATTCATAATATGCTAGATGCTGTGCTAATCATTTCATATATATTAATATGTTGTATATAATCTCATTTAATTCCCATGGATAACTCTAAAATGGATATTATCTTGAGGCTGAGACTTAAGAAGATCAAGAGTTTTGTTCAGAGTCACAGACCTTAAGTAGCCAGCCACCTACTCCAAAGCCTGTATTTCTAACCATTAGACCCACTGCTTTGCCTAACATCTCTTGGGCTATTTAATTTTTTAGTGTATGAATGTCTTATAAGTGCCTTGATGGAAACGTCATATGCTATAGATCTAGAGCTGAATACTTAATAGATTCCTACATGTAGAATGAATAGGCTATGCATTACTTCTCAAACAGTAGCAAAGATTTAACCCCATTTTATTGTTAAGAAAGGAAATTGGGCAAAGTATCTTACCCTTCTATACTTTGAAAACTTATCAACTTAACTGGCCAAACAGAAAGTGTCTTGTATAAACTTTTACTCTAGACTATACTAATTTTGGATATGACTTAATTATTCTTTACTTATAGGAAGTGTATGATTTCTAATTTTGTTAAAATATATTCTAGTAATGGAGATTATTTAGTTTGGGATATAAATGCAGTTAGGAATAGATTTGTGATGCTTAAGAAATTTTTTGAAGACATGTAAAATAGATGAAAAA